GCCCCTGGGCCCTGCCCCCGCCTGTGGCCACGCCCCGGCAGCTGCTGCAGACCTTTCCCACCCAGGTCCCGTGACCCAGCTCCCGGGCGGCCCGCCCTGACCCTGTTTGCACAGGAGCTAAAACCGGTTTGCTGTTCCCTCTTTAAGTACTGACAGCTGCACCGCAAACTGTACCTGGAGTGCTTTTCCACTGAAGGAGGAAACAAATAGAACTTCTACCACCTCCTTCCTCTTCCCTGCGCTGGGCACGGCCGACCTCTCTCCCTCACGTCTTCTTATTGCTCGTGTGGCCAGTGTCTCTATTTACTCTGAGATCTGAAAGCTCCAGGGAGAGAAAAAGCTACCAAAACGGTGGGGACGCGGCTGGTCGCTCTCGGAGATGACGAGCCCGGCCGGCTCGGAACCTCCCAAAGAATCGTCCCGGGTCGGACCTGAGCGATGTCCCGGGTGGTCCCGGGAGCTGCTGCTGAACCATTTTCACCTGCTTAACACGCAGCGTCCACGCTCCATGCGGGAGTGTGAGAGCACACGTCCGGAATTTCCCACACTCCCCAGAAAACCCCCAAACGGAACGAAGTGCAGAAAATCATGGAAACACCAAACAAAAATATCTGCTGACAACAAGCCCGTTATCACCACTCTTTGTTTCCTAAAAAGGGGAAGGATCCAAACGATGAGGCCTTTTAAGCGACACACGTGTCTCTGGTCCCCAGGCCATTCTGAGCTGGCGGTTGCTAGGAGATGGGATTGTTACGGGAAGTGTAATGCCCAACACATGCTTTCACTGTCTGACCACGTCCACACCGTGGTGGTCGCTCACTCTGCGCGACACCGAAGCTTGCGCCCTTTGCGGTCGCCCAAAGGAGGGCGTGTTAGTGACACCCTGTCCGGGGCCTGGCACCCGGCGCCGCCTCGCCCATCTGCGGTCAGATGGCCTGGGCGGGTTTGCCGCAGCTGCTTGTCCTCCCATCGAGGTCACTGTCAGCACGACTTCCACAGGGCGCCCCTGTCCTTGGAGTCAATTTCAGGTATCAATTGTTGGGTGTGTTTTTTATTGCCAAGTGGGGTTTCATTGCGTGGATGCAGCCTGGCCCATCTCTTCCCCATCGGAGCGACCTAGTCTGTTTCCACACGCTGGTGCCTTCTGGGTGGGTTTCCGTGGACATTCCCAGGCCGGTGCTGAAGCACAGGCTCCCGGCGCATCCGGGCAAATACTGAGGATCGCGGCCACCCTGTCCGTCTGCATCTGACTTCACGGAGAAGCTGCCAGGGCACGTGAGCCTCTCTCTGGACGCCACGTCGGCCATTTGCTTTTGCTGCTTTGTGCACGGCTCACCTTGCCCGGTGTGACCGGAGCCTTTGGTTTTTTCCTGGTTGGCTTGTAAGAATGTTTGTATGGAATAGACACCCACCTATGTCATCTGTGTCACCCGTCCTAGGACCAGCTGCGTCACTTGTCTCCTGTCTTGGTCTACCAGCCAGTGCACTGAGGGAGAGAGCAGCCCCCTGTGTCCATCAAGTCACGCAGCAGCCTCACTAGTCTGAGACGTCAGCCGGCCTGTGGGGGGCCGGGAGTGAAGCCCGGCATTTTTAAAATATATAAATCTTACTGATTTCAGAGAGGAAGGGAGAGGGAGAGAGAGAGAAACATCAATGATGAGAGAGCATCATTGATCAGCTTCCTCCTGCACTCCCCCTACTGGGGATGGAGCCTGCAACCCGGGCCTGTGCCCTGACCGGGACTCGAACCCTGACCTCCTGGCTCACAGGTCGCCGCTCAGCCCCTGAGCCCCGTGGGCCGGGCATGCAGCCCGGTGTTGCCGGGCGTGACCCCGTCGGCCGGTGGGA